AGGACAGAAGGGCCTATGGGCCTATACTGCTAGACGGTCCTATAGCCTATAGCCGGGTAGGGAGAGGCCCTGGAGGCCGAACTGAATCGGTACCGATGAGTCAAGTCGGTCCGGTCTAGGTCGTGTCTAGGCTAGGGTAGAATAAATATATAAAAGGGAAAATTGTTTGGGGCTTTTGGCAGTTGGTACTGTGACATAGCTGTTGCGCAACGCATGAACTGGTGGTGGTACAACCTCAGGTCGACAGGATACAGGCTGCAGAATCAGCAAGTCATTGCAAAAAGGTATAGAGCTGGGCTGATATTACCAAATTGAATAAGAAGATTGAGGCCGGGGTCCTCACAGTCTACCTGGAGAAACCGAACCAAACAAGCTGAGAACCGGGCTCAGCGTCCCTCCTATGATTATGATTATGCTGCTGCTGCTGCTGCTGATGATGATGATGATGATGATGATGATGATGATGATGATAATGAACTTCTACTGATTGTATGAGAAATGTGGGATAGTGACACTAATGATGATGACGATTAGTATGTGAATAATTTTAGAAGTCTATGCCATATCAGCAAATCTGGCCTTCTAATCCTAGAACAACCCCTAGCCCTCCCTGAGCCAGGACATTAATCTCAAAGACAATGTCATCCTAACCGACATCAACCATAGTTATCCTATTATCGCCATCTAGACTAAACCTGGACCCATAGGCTGTCCTGGTGGCACCCCCCAGTTCACCACTGGATTGTCTTCCTTCCTTGACTAAGGGGCTAGTTAAACACTCCTCGGGCGCGTAAATCCCCCGAGGAAATAATCGTTAGACCTATCCTTGGGGACGATTCCCGAAAATGATATGTGAAAACATTTCCTCGGGCTGTCCTCGGGGCGTCCTTGGGGCGTCCTCGGGCTACATGCAATCGCCGGCGATCCCCAAGGTACCTCACGAGGTCCTTGGAGGGCAAGCATCCGCAATAATCGGGACGGCGGCGACATCCTTCGGCGACGACAATTTTTTGGAGGGTGGTCCAATGCCGTACCTACTGGCCGGTCCACGGACATGTCCGGTCGCCAACGTTCACCTTCGATGGAATTTACGACAACGGTAACCGTTGGGGATGGCTGGCCCCTGCGAACGCCGAAAGGCGTCCACAGTCCCTCGCGCTGGAGGGCGGCAAACGGAAAAGGGTCCAACGGTCGTTAATTTCGAATATTTCAGGTGGCAAGCGTTCCAGCCACCCACCGCAGTCTGCAATGTAACTCGATAGAGGGCGTTTTTTTGTCGGATGTTGTTGCCTGCTGTTTGTTGCCGTCTACTTTGCCGTTTGCTGGAGGCGCGCTGTTGTCATCTGTTTCCTGCCCGTCCGCATGTGTAGTTCATGGCCGACATCTTCTCAAGGCTGCCACTGCTTGTCCTGATCGTCATTTTGCTTCTCCTTGTCGTCGTCTTCCACGTGTGCATCCTGGGTCGGGTGCCTGGTCGCACCCGCAAGCGACGATCGACGAAAAAGCACATCAACATGGACGGACGTTGGAGCAACACGCTAACCACCGCCCCAGCCACGACAGTACCCGCGGTACAAGGCCGCACGACCCGTCAGCCTACGCGCACCTCCCACCGCACTTACAACCTCTACCTGACTCGTCAGATGGGGAGGCAGACGAAGGTGGCTCACGTACAGTCCCGCTGGGTAGCGGGTCCACCCAGGAGTGGGCAGGCAGCCAATTGTACGGTCGACGTGCTAGCACGTACAGGCCGCAGTCGTACACCGAACACCTGGAGGAAGGCCTCGCAGAGACGACGTTGATGGCCCCATGAATTTGTCATTCGCGCTAGGTGCATCATTGGTGTATTGTTTTCCCAATCTTGTATTCAGAGACGACCTTTTCCTGTTACTGACGTGGTTAGCCTCTGGTTTCTCATTGTTTATTACTTCGATTTCGTTGCATGCATGGAGTGGATTTTGAAATGACTTCGTTTTCGTTGTTTGTTATCGTTTTCTTGTGCATTGCATGCATGGACTGAAAGATTTGCAGACATGTAGTCATTCATTAATAACCTGTTGTCAGAATGGTTGCATGCCGTATGTCGGAACGAAACGAAACACAGGCGCACCCATCAAACACACACATCCACCTACAATGATTGCAAGCACACCATTGGAAGAAAGTCAAACACAGGCACACCAAAGACACACACGTACTCGCGAAGAAGACGACTGTTCACGAATCACCTCCCAAAAAGTACATCAACAAATCCATCGCGAACGTATTCTAGACTCAACAGAAGCGGGCGTGAAACCCAGTTACAAAAAAAGAAGACCCATGGGGAAAGAAAACCCCAACGCATGTCTGCGTCTGCATAATAACACCGACGGAACTGTAAGAACAACATCAAGCAATTGCGCCCAAAGATCGACTGCACGTGTCAACACCCCAACCAGAGTGGCAAGGACTGCAGCATCACCAATATTGATGTCTACATCGATAACGAACAATCGAAAAACTACCGATTCATCATCAATTAACGGACAACTGATCTACGGAGAACTGCAAACTCCATCTGAGACTCAACGTGACGACACAGCGAAGCCAGCACAAAACACTCGGAAGTCGAATCCTCTCCACTGCCCACTCTCCCGCTCTCATAACTCGCGTCGTCCACCTGTCTTGCGGGTCGACGTGGACATCTTCCGCCGGCCTTCATCAACGGGCACTCATCCGCTCCGCCAACGCATCCCTCAGAATCAACGCACCCCCGCCAATTCGGCGTCGAACTGTCCATGCACACGGGCGGACCCGAGGGGCGTTGGATCCCCAGATCCACCCGCCGCTGAACTCCGTTGGTGTCCACCTCCCAAAGAAAATTGTCGTCGAAGGGGATGCCGACATCGATGAGAATGTTGTGCAAAATGCACACGGCGACGAACTGCTGCGGCAACGTCTCCATATTCGTCTTGTGCGATCGCAGGAACAACCTCCACATACCCTTCAGCCTCCCGAAAGCCCTCTCCACTGCCCCTCTTGCGGTCTTCTGCTTGTTGTGGAACCACAACTCGGACGAATGCTGACTGGTTTCGCCATAGGGAACGACTATCCATTCCGACGACGGGTACCCATAGTCGCCTAGCAGATAGCCACTTGTCTGCACTTGGAAGGGAAGCATCACAGGCGGCCCCGTGAACAGCTCTCCGACCTCCGCTCGCGCCCAAAGACTAGAGAGGTGAATGACCCTGACGTCATGACAGCTTCCCAGATATCCAACGAAAACGTCAAGCACACGTAAGTCGAGATCGACAAGGACTTGCGCGACAACTGAGAAACGTCGTTTCCTGTCGAAGTAGTCTTCACCAGGTCCGTTTGCCGGCTTGTTGATGTAGATATGCGTGCAGTCGATACAACCGTGGCAGTTAGGGAACCCCTTGTTAGTGAAAGCACGCAGAACGACCGCCTTTCGCACCCTAGTCGGCCACGACACCTTCTCCCGGTACACCGCCAACAGCGCCGCAGTGACGTCCCACACCGCCACCACACCCGTAGCTCTGCCAATGCCGAAGTTGCACGTGCTGCTTTTGTACGTCTCCCCGGACGCCCATCTGTACAATGCGTACGCCACGCTGTGGTCTGGCTGCAATGGCTCCCTGTAGAACGTCACACGGCGCTGCAGAAATGGCGACAGGTTTTCCGTAATCTCGCGGAAGACACGTGGCGACATACGCAGCTTATCGCAGAAGCACTCTTCTGTGGCGTCGTCGGCAGGCCGCAGATCCTCCCACGCCCCCCCCGTCCTCCGTTTCACCCACCACCTGGGCGTGGTTCTAGGCATACCGCCACAGCCCATGGAGCAACACACCTGGAAGACGGCGTCGCAGATGGCAGCGGTGTCCAGCCCTGCAGCCGGCAGTGGCTGCATCACCTTCATCCTCCGTGCGCGAAGCTGCGTCTTCAATCTTCCTGCACTGTGTACCATCTGGCAGCGCAGAAGCACAACGGTAACGGTCGCGGCAACCGCTGCGGCAACCGCTGCCCTTTCGGTTGTTGACAGCTTCGAACGGTCATCGTCGGCGACATTCCCCATCACCGCACAGGGTGCAAAAGACATCGCCTTCATAAACGACCAACAAATTTCGGCGACACGCCAACACACGACGGAAACGTGACGCGTGACGACCAGGGGGATGGTGCGACGAAGGACACCGTGAGATTATCCGCGCAGTGACGCGAGGACGAGCACCGTGATGGCGTCTTCTCCACTTTTTCCGTCTCAACTCTGATGGCGGAACGGTTGTCCATGCGCCGCCCCAGGCCGACCTTCGTTGAAGGATGTGGTTGCACGATGACGTTGTCCACCGCGCGCTGCAGGCCCCACCCGATACTCCTACGCCACGCCACCCACTTTTGAAATTCAAATTTCAAAACCGGGGGCCCGCGTGCGCGTGTTCCTTTTTTTCCGACCCCGCTGCCGAAATTTGAAATCTCCCGCCGCCTGGAGGTGGACCAAGCCCGACCACCCGGACATCACATCATGGACCGCCGCCCACTGCCCCGCCCCGCGGCCGCATATTTTATTATGATCATCCCTGCGGCCCCTCCTCGGAGCATCCTCGGGAAATCGTCCCGAGGACAGGTGGAACGACAGCGGGAAATTCCTCGGGCGACCTAAAGGAAAATTCCTCGAGCCCCGAGGATGCCCCGAGGAGTGTCTAACGAGCCCATAATCCCCAGATCTCTCTACAAGGCCTCACACTCCTGTCATTTGCAGGTTACAGGGCAACGCCCGAGCTCCGGCCAGCATCGTTCTGGCATTGGCATACCAGGGGCAAAGAACAAAGCAATTACATAGATATCAGCCCGGATTCGACCATCTCGTAAATCATATATCCCGAATGAGGAAGAAAGCCAAGTGCCGCCACGAATAACAGAACACCAGAAGAAAAGGAAAAAAAAGAAAAAAAAAGAAAAGAAAGTGAGATAATGATACTAATGATAACGATGCTAATGATGATGTCGATTAGTATTTGAAAATTTTTAGAAGTTTATGCTATATCAACAAATCTGGCCTTCTAATCCTAGAACAACCCCCAGCCCTCCCTGATCCAGGACATTACCTCTCAGAGATAATGTCATCCTAGCCAACATCAACCATAGCTATCTTGTTCTCGCCACCTAGACTAAACCTGGACCCATAGGCTGTCTTGGTAGCACCCCCCAGTTCACCACTGGATAGTCTTCCTCGCTCGACTAATCCCCAGATCTCTCTACAAGGCCTCACACTCCTGTCATTTGCAGGTTACAGGGCAAAGCCCCAACTCCGGGCAGCGTCGTTCTGGCATTGGCATACCAGGGGCACAGAACAAAGCAACTACGTAGATATCTGCCCGGGTTCGACCATCTCTTAAAACATACATCCCGGATGAGGAAGAAAGTCAAGTGCCACCCCGAATTACAGAACACCAGAAAAACTGGATATAACATGATTGATTCTTTTTTTTTTTTTTTTTTGGATATCACGATTGATTATGGAAAATCCCCCCCACTCTCTCCTTTCCCTGTCCCGTCACTGCCTCCGCCGAAAAAAGAATATCCTTATCACAGACATTCCTTATCGGCCCCAGCTAAGAACAGCCCCACCCCCACCCCATTCCCCCAGAGGCATTCAATTCCCACCCAAAAAATGCCTCCGCTTGCCCCTTACCCTAATCTGCCCCCGCTGAGGTTTGAAATCTCCCCTCAGCCCCAGAATAGAGTAATCCCCACAATCTGCTTCTACCCCCTTCAAGGCATCACTACCCACCTTGTGCAGCCCCTGCAGAGCAGAGCTCACCCCCCCTTCCGACCAACCTACCCATTTAGAAAAATAATTCAAGAGATTGCAGCGAGAAATTTAAACAAAATTACTAGTTGAAATGATTGCACGGGAAGTATAGAAATCAGATTTTCATTTTGAAATAACAATTACAAAAACGACAGAATCAGACTTGAACCACCTAAACACAAAAGAATGATTAATTAATTAGTAATTGATTAATTAGAAAATTTCTGGTATAAAAAAATGCCATTCAGATTGATTTATCATGAAGAACCAATGTTTGAGTTATGGATGATTGGGAATCTATCGGGAAAATATCAGGATTTTATTTAGGATTTAAATTGAAGATGATAATTACGATAATTTTGACAATATTGGAATTAGTATGTAAATTAGTGATGAGAAGATTGAAAGCAGAGTTGAGATAGAAAATGGAAAGGAAGAGAGAAGATCATGGAGGAGAAACTACCTCCCCCCACTCTTCCTATACTCACGCACCTTGATTATAGCGAAGATGATGATCATAATGTGACTGATGAGAACGTCGACTCTGACTGCCTAGTGAGAGACTCGCAGCCTCAACGTATGAACGTGAGCTATTTCCTATTCCAGAAGCATTGAATCACTGGCAACACTACCTCCTAGGACGACACTTTTTTTTTTTTTATAAGAAAAGGCTCCATCTATTCGTGGGGAGCATCACCTGCTGGAAAACGGGTGCAGCGTCCCTTATACAGAATGATTCGAAAAACAGTTCGGAGGAACCAGAAAACCAGAAATAAGACCAGGACCTGCCAGCATTGATTACTCTGGGTTCAGAGGATTGACTGAGCAGGTTGTTGTAGAGGACTGCTGATGACAATCTTCTCCCGCCAGCTGTACTCGTCCACCCAATCTAACCTTCCTTTCAAATGAGAAAACCTCTATCGAGCAAAGGCAATCTCGAATCGCTGCTGGTCGTGTACAGCATTCCTGTCCTTGGAGACACGAGGGAATCACCCTCCCGTCTCTCCTCCTTTGATGAACCGGCCTTCCGCCCGGATGAGCTCAGCATTCCTCCTGATTTGTTTTGAAGAAAAACCATGAGAAGAATCATTGGGAACTACTGGGAACTAGATACCAGCCTCGGGGTATACCGCTTTTCACCAGAAGCTCGACACTTTAAAGTATACTCTGACCATAAGACACTTCGCTGGTTGAAAACTCAGGCCCGTATGTTGCCTAAGTTAACTAAGTGGGCAGGTTAGAATCCGTGAGATTGGCCAATTCAAGTTTGAGTTGAAATCAGTAAAGGGGAAGTATAATGTTGTCCAGTGCCGTACCCCCGAACGAGGGTCAGTCACCGGTCACGAAAATCGTGACCGGTGGTAGTTCACGCAGAGTTGGGCTGGTTTGTTTGTTTTTTTTGGCCGGGGGGTGTGTGTTTTTTTTAATATGAGGATGGGGGTCATCGAAGGGCAACCCCCCATAATTTTTTCATTTTTTTTCGCAAATAATATATATATATATACAGGGTAACCGGCGTTCGGGACGGGCCGAACGCCCGAACGTATGGGACCCCTTGGGGATGCGTTCGGCCGTTCGGGCCGAACGCGGACCCAAAAAAAAAAAAGGTCATCAAAAACATCTGAAAAAAAGATATGTTATGGGGAAAATTAAATTAAACAAGATTTGCCTGAGCATTATATCCGAATTCCTTACCACATTTGAAATAAAAATAAAATACGAAAAACAAATACTAATAATACAAAATAAATAAAAATAAAAAGAGAATTAAATTTAGTGACTGCGCGAGCATGTTTTCGACACCGCCATCTTCGGCGATTTTTCATTTGTTTTTGGCATAGTTAAATGCCCTGAAAATTTACAGATGTGTACTTCACATAATACAAAACCCACTAAAAAAGCTTCAAAAAATAATAAAAATGTTTAGACCCCGAACTAATGTGAAAACAAAAAGCAAAAAGTGAAAAAATGCGTGGGCGAGCACGTTTTGACACCGCCATCTTTGGCGATTTTTAATTCTTATGTGGCTTAGCCAAATGACTTGAAACTTTACAGGCATGTACCTCACGTCATAGGGAACTCACAAAAAACAATTCAGAGACAAATAATGATTTCTAGGCCCTGAAATAATTTTTGGCGGGGGCCGAATGCCGTCGGATTCGGACCCCGTACGGGACCCCAAACGCCCGTACGTACGGAGGTCTGCCCGGGGACCTCCGTACGTACGGGCTGGTGACCTGTGTCTTCTTCTCTCTCTCTGCCTACGGTTTTACCGGGCAGTTCTGTTTGTGACGATATATATATATATATATAGCCTCCTGATGAGTCGGTGAAACTCCGACGAAACAGTTTGACACAGCCCCTCGTTTGTTGTCCTCTTCTCTCTCTCTGCCTACGATTTACCGGGCAATTCTGTTTGTGACGATATATATATATATATATTAAGGTAGATTATCATTTACAGTGAAAT